AGAGGTGATCACGTGACGGCACCCGCCATGTTGAGGAGGGCAGGGCGGTGATGTCACGTGACGGTCGCCGCTTGCCGCCATGTTGGGAGGGCACAACGTGGCTAATTGGGGGGGCTGCAATTAGCGCCGGGTAATGGGGGGCGGCAGCGGCTCTGCTGCCGGCTCCAGCCCCACGCCCCGACTGCGAGGGGGGTGGAAACCACAGGCTGGGCCCCATCTCTGTGTGTGGGGACAGGGCCGTGGCCTGGTCCCGCCAGCCCTGGCAAGGGGAGCCCAGCCTGCGGCGGGGGGGACTGGGGTTTGCGCAGGAGCAGGCCGGCCGCCCGGGGAGCTGCCGTGTGGATGCCACAACGTCCCTGCAGCCCGCAGGCGTTGCCCCCCGGGGCCGCAGCACCCAGCTGTGGCCGCAGGGCTCCAGAGGCCTGGGTCCCCCCGGGTCCGGTGCCCGCCGGCAGCCCAGAGGCTGGCACCGGGGGACGGCACTGCTCCCCATGCACCCGCGCTCGCTCCAAGGCAAGAATGGCTGGGAAACGAGGACGAGACGCAGCTCTCGACACCCTTCCCAGGGCGCAGCGCACCCAGGGGCCCTGCGGCTGCCTTCCAGCCCCGACAGCACCGAGGACGCGCTCCCACGCACGCTGCACCCCCAAAGCCCACACGTCCCCCAGCACCGACACACCTGGAACCTCTCCAGCCACCCCCCGACACCGCCAAAACCAGCCCAAGCTGCAGCCATGGGATTTAAGCCCAATTAAAAATCACTTCGACTGCAAAGAAATGCTGGGACCAGCGCTTGCCCTCGTGCTGGCCATGAAGAGTCCCAGCCTGGCAGAGATGAGCCACTTGAGCAGGGGTGGCAGGGAAAGCGGCGGCAGATGCAGGGCAGCCCGGAGAAACCCGCAAGGAGGAGATAAATTTAGTACAAGTGTTTATTGTCTTTTCCCCAAAGGGCACATACAAACCAGGCCGAACTCCAGCTCCTAGACGGAGTCCAAAATCCCCTGGAAGTTTCCAACAGCAAGTAATGCTAGTCACACGTAACAGGGACAGACGGCATTAGGGGACCAAAGGGTACGTACACGTTATCTTTAAAAGACACAGTGAGTCACTGCTATCAAGTAAGACCCCCGGCTCACCCGAGGGGGACAGCCTGGCCACCCCGGGGACTGCCCGGCTGCAGCACTGTTAGCCAAAGCAGGGAGGGTGGGATGGATAACCACCAACAGCAGCAGCACAGAAGGTGGCTGCTAATTGCAATCAGGCAGGGAAAGCCTTTGCCTGCCCACAGCAAGGTGCAGCCTTCGCAGTGAGGAAGAGCCTTGGAGCAAACCCAGCCCCGGCTCAGCCACCACCGCGGTGCCGAAGGTGGTTACGAGAGCTGAACGCGCCCTGGGTGCAGGGAGAGGGCCCAGAAGGGGGAGTGGGCAGGAAAACACCCACCACTCTGTCCACACCCTTTGGGCTGGGAGATTCGGGTCCATCCCCAGTCGGTAGGACAGAGCAGGGGCTCTCCCTGCCCATGGCGAGCAAGGGGCTGCCGTGGGGAAGGGGCCTTTGCTCACATCAACCCGAGGTTCCCGGGGCAGCCTGTGCCAAAACAGGCAGCCACAAAGGATCCAGTTGAGCTCATGCTGGTTCCCCCTGACTCCTCGGCCCCCAGAGCTGCACCCTTGCTTAGCCTGAAGCCCTGGCAATGCCAGGCAAGCCAGGCAGGGTGGCAGGTCCCCTCACCGGGACCGCATCCTGCCCCAGAGATGCCTGAGTAGTCCCTAACCCTTTCCCAAGGGATTCGTGGTTACCCCAGGGCTGCCCTGCAGAAGGAGGGGAGCCTGCCCCAGCCCGCACTGCCGGCCTGCCTGCCCCGGGGAGCCGAATCACCAAAAAGAGCCTAAAAACCAGCCAAAAACCTTCTACCAACATGCACTGCAGTAAACCCACACTGGGACAGAGGCAGCGAGTCAAACCGCGCCTCTGCCCTGCAGAGAACTCATAAAACCCAGAAGCAAAGCAAAGGAAAACCAGCAAGGCCAAAACATCCCTAATTCTATAGCCTCGAAACCTGGGGCGGCTCCGGCTTGAGGGGGCGGGCAGTGAGGGGGCACGGGGAGCCGGCTCTGCCCGTGCGGAGCAGGGACGCGACAGAGGGGAGCAGCCACTGTCACCGTTGGGGGGGTGGCAAAGCCGCCACAGGCACGGGGAAGGGTCTGGGATCACTAGTGGTTGGTACTGCATTGCTACGGGAGTGAAGGAGCCGCTGCCCCCGACCCCTCTCTGAGGGGCTGGTGCTGGGGGCAGCCCATGGTCCCAGGCTTTGCGCTCCAGGCAGAGGGAGCTGGGGAAGGCTCCTCTCCGTGGTGTAAAACATCCCCGAGCTGGTGCAGACGGGAAGGGAAAGGAGAAGCCGACGCAGGGACATGAAGCATCTCCAGTCTGCCTGGCGCACCAGGAGCCTGGCCGTGGCACTGCCGTGGCGTGCAGCCCCAGAGTCGCTGTCAGCCGTAAGGCAGGAAGACTTGAGACCGAGCTGAAGCTGCCGAGGGGGAGAGGAGGGTGCACAGAGCACACAGGGCTCCCCACTGCCGGGGTTCGTCCTCTGGCCGCCGCTGGTGGGCTTCCCACCGCGTCTTTTCGAGGTGTCTTTGGTTTCCATTACAGAAACGCCAGTGGCATTTTCTCCTCCCGTGAGCTGCTCGGGGCGAGCGCGTTAGGCTGGGAACTCGGTGCCGTGGTGCCTGACGTGCTCATCGGTGACGGACAGGTAGGTGGCTCGCATGCTCGGGGAGTACTGCGGGGAGAGGACACGGGGGTCAGCGCACCCCCAACCCACAGCGCGCCCCGCTGAGCCCCTGCCAGCCACGTCCAACCCAATCCTGCACTGCCACGTGCCGCTGAGCCGCCAGAGAAAGCCCAAGGATGGAGAGGGAAGATTGCTTTCCATATTAATCCCCAATTAATCTGCCAGGCTGCCATGGGTAAGGGGACCAGACCCTGTTCACAGCCTCTTCAAGGGCTGGAAGAGAAGAGAGCCCCCAGCTCTTGGGGTGAGCCCCAAGATGCTTCAAGTGCGTCAGGCTCTGTTTTGCCCCTTCCCGCACTGCTGGGACATTGGCCAGGTTCATCCTTCACTTTTCCGACCCCACCCTGGCAGTAGATTCAGCCCCAAGTCACTGAGTCTGGATGCACCCGATCCCGAGGGGCTCACACTGGGATACCAGCCATGGCTTGAGCTCCCCTCCCTGCGCTGGCATGGGGATGGTGGCACCGCAGGCACCGGCTTGGGCTGGCACGGCGGTGGAGCAGGATGGGCTTTAGCCCTGGCACATGGGACTACCCAGGCTTGGGGCTGGGCCTCTGTGGCAGCTGAGCCGGGTTTTGCCCCCTGATCTTCCCTGTCCACACACAAACCTTACCCTGGGTGTGCCAGGGCTCACAGGGTGCCTGTGCCGGCAGCCGCCGCAGGCTGGACCCCCCGGGGCTCTCCAGTCCGGG